TTTTTCGGTTTTTCGAGACAGGGTTTCTCTGTGTAGCTTTGCGCCTTTCCTAGAGCTCACTTGGTAGCCCAGGCTGGCCTCGAACTCACAGAGATCCGCTTGGCTCTGCCTCCCGAGTGCTGGGATTAAAGGCGTGCGCCACCACCGCCCGGCGCTTGTGTCTTTTTATAGGTGATTGAGTCCATTGATATTAAGGGATATTAATTACCAGTGATTGTTAATTCCTGTTATCTTTTCGTGGTAGTGTGTGTGTCATGATGGGAAACCTACAGGGATGACCAAACCAAACTAGTGGGAACTCATGAAATTTGGATCAAAGGCTGAGGAGCCTGCGTGGGACTGGTCTAGGGCCTCTGCATGGCAAGACAGTTGAGTAGCCTGATTTGCTTGGGGGCCCCCTGGTGGTAGGATCAGAATACATCCCTGGTGCATGAGAGGGCTTTTTGGAGCCCACTACCTGTGATGGGACACCTGGCACAGCCTTGGGGCAGGGGGAGGGGCTTGGACTTGCCTCTACTGGATGTGCCTCCCCATGGGAGGCCTTGCCTTCTTGTGGGGAGGAGTGAGAGGTGAGTTGGGAGGGGGAAGCTGGGGAGGCAGAGGAGGGAAGAGGGAAATCTTTGATTGTTGTGTAAAATTAATGGAATTTTTTTTTAAAAAAGAATATTGTTATTAAAGGTAATACTTGTTTATGCTCATTTCTAAGGATTTGGAATTTATTGTTTTGTTTCTTTTTTCTTCTTTTTGGTTTTTGATTTTTACTTGTTTGTTTTGTTTTGTTTTTTGAGACAGGGTTTCTTTGAGTACCCTTGCTGTCCTGGATCTTGCTCTGTAGACCAGGCTGGCTTCAAACACACAGAGATCTGCTTAGCTCTGCCTCCCAAGTGCTGGGATTAAAGGCATACACCCCCACTGCCTAGCTAGCATTTAATGTTTTATAATCTCCCAAGGCCAGTCCTTACCTAAAACTTCCTAACCTATTACCCAGCTAAAACTTGAAATTTAAGTCCTGAAATGTCTGAGTTTTGCAAATAACTATAAGCAGTATAACAATGAGAAATGGATTATTTGTCATAAATCACTTGTGAATTTCTCATAAAACAAATAAGTAATTGTCCATGATATTTCTTTTAGAGTATTAGAGAGAGATGCCTCTGTAGCTTAATTATTGTAAGCTATATAATATAAATGTTGGAAAGATGATTGTAAAATATTACTGGGTATATAAGTATTGAATTGTTCATATTGACTTTTTGTGATATTGCCATTGATTTTTAAAAAACCTTTATTAAAATAATATACATGGATTTGAAGGGTTTTTTGCAAAACAGTTTCAGGGAATAATATCATGACAAAAGTCTGCACTCAAATAGAATGTGTAACAATATGAGTAACTTCTGACTCTAGAGCACTCCTTCCCGGATGGGCCTGATTAGTGGTTGTGACTGCACCAGTGTTCTTAACACCAAAAGCCTAAATAAGTAGCTAAAATGCATGTAATTGATCTTTCAATAGTTCTAATAAATCTATACTTACTACAGTTACATATTAAAAGTATGTGAGTTAGACATTTTGTATTGCTTTAAAGGCAGATGGCTGTATTCATCAGTCCAAATACTTTCTGTGATTACATGTGAAACTGGCCAAGATAAGCACATCAGGAGTGATGGTATCTGAGAGAAAACATTCCCTGGCATCAACCAGCAAGGTGTCCTGCTGAGGGAGCACAAGGCACAAAGTAACGTTTCATTCTTATTTTAAGTAGTATCACCCCATGCTTTACTCATGCTCAACAGATGCTGAGTGGACACTGTAACACAGGCTGTGTTCCAGACTGTGAGAATACAGTGAATAAGATACAAAAATAGGAAATGAATAAGACACTCTTGGCTTCAAGGAGCTCACCATCCAAGAGGAGAGACAGGTGGACCCCGGAAAGTAATTCCAGTGCAGCCTTAGTGCAGCATTGCAAGACACGGTGCATGGAGAAGACATGATGTAGCTAGGATAGTAGAGCAGAGGCCTTGAACCAGACAGCGATCTCATGTCTAAGGATGTGTGGGTGCGACCTCTGTAGCACCTATGCAACTCAGAAGACTATACAATTTAGAGTGTGCGTTCACTGGATAAATTTGTGTTTGTGGAGCAACATTTGGGAGGTAGTGGGGGCGTGGCTAGAGAAATGTCATGAGCAGGCAGAACACTGCGGGAAGTAGGAGGATGAAAAGACAGGTCATTTCAAAAGTTTCCCCAAAGAGCAAATCAAAGAAGTAGATCCCACCTTAGAAAAGAGTGGAACTTCCTGTGGGAACATTAGGAAAGAAATTAAAGGTAAGCTGGCCGGTGGAAAAGAAAAACTGAAATTTCAATTATTTGGGTTTCCAAGCTAAGTGTGGGGATATGGTTATTTTACTAGTACAAGCTCCTTCAAAAGATAATATCTCTGAAGAATGCAACAAGATATCTGGGTGAATGAGTTATTAATGATGACTGATAAACTCTATCGCACAGATAATTAGGATAAAACAGTATTCCTGATTCAACCATTACTGGGAACACCATTGGCCTGGGAGATTGAGAGGTTTTACTAAGGGTCATGGAAGATATAAGCTTTTAATGAGCATGAGTAGTAGAGGGAAAGTAGCATTTAAGGTAAAAGAAGAGCAGAACAAGACTAAAAAGAAAAAAAAAACTAAGAAAGGTCAATCAGGGTTCTAGGGGGCCTGGTGTGAGATGAGGTAGTTGTATAGAAGACAGCTTTGTATCGCATATTCGCTACAGTAAACATTTCATTTTGTATTAAAAAACTGTTGAATGGCTTCATTAGCTCACTGATTTAATCTGATTTATGCTTCAGCAAGACTAACCCAGCTGCAATGTGGGGAAGAGGTTACAAAGATAAGAGTAATGCATGAGGAAAAGTGGCCAGGGAATTAATGCAATAATCCTGGCAACAGAAAAGAAGAGCTTGAATCCTGTCAATGGTGTAGACATGGACATCTATGGAAATATTAGAGTGAGACCAAGAATAATACTGGCCTTTGACCTAACAAGAAAATCCCTCTCTACAATATGTTAGAAAATCTCCTGTTTTCTTCAGTTTTATAGTTCCCCAGAGGTCAACCAAACTGATAATATGTGCCCATCATATAAAATCTGTCTTCCTCCTCTGCTAGACCATGATTGAAGAACCGTGACTAAGGAATTCCCTCTCCAAACAACCTCAAGAATCTTCTGAGGCCTGAAAGGACTTCTTCCATCAGGATATCCTACTATTACTCAGTGGTTGCAAAGCATTGGCCGAAAAACCAGTGATATAACAAGATGACTGGTGGGGTCTGTACATGTTAAATTTCAGGCATTTTGAATCTTCTAAGAACATATTTCTTTTAGATGATTATATATTAAAGGATACAGAGGTCCCAGACAAGGTTTCATCTATGAGTATTATTTGTGAGTCATGAAGAAGGGAGAAATTGCCAAGTGTGGTAGCTCATATCTGTAATTACAACATCCAGGAGTCTGAAGCAGAAGGACCACAAGTTGCAATCCAGTCTAGCTACATAGTAAGACTGATTCTCAAAAGAGAAAAAAAATAGCCTTGGGAGAAAGTAAAATGATACATAAAAGAGAAATCCATGATGCAATCTTAAGAAAGATTCCAGATTCAAGAACAGATGACCAGAAGCATGGGAGAAAATCAAGACAATGTTATCACGAGAAACAACAGAAAGAGAGGATGTAAAGAGTAAGAGAAGCTGTCTGTGCCACTCACCTCCTTCCCTGGCCCCTCACTAGATTCATCATAACCCCTTAGTCTCCCTCCACCATCTACACCGTCTAACAGCTGCCTTGGACTCACACCAGGATGTGCTCCGATTCTCCACTATGAACCAGCCTCTAATTTCCATGTACCTTTACTATAATATAATATATTGACTCTAATATCATAATTATCATATCCCATCCATTTATAAACTTTCTGACAAATTTAGTGTTGCAATGTCTGTAATCCACACCTAAGCTTCCCTAAAATATAGATATTTGGAGGCACAGTTATTCTATATCCTCACACAGTGAAAGGAATGGCACTCAGGATGGAACTAGCCTGAAGATATGGATTCATGGGTCTCCAAATGTCACCACATAGGTCCTGTCCTCTAGGACAGAAGGTTAGTTGTTCTTGTAAACAGAGGTTAAGGCCTGAACTTTGGTCAGTAAACTTTGGAGTCTCTCTTGGGCTGTTTAAAATTTGATTTTACTGTTTTGTTTGTTTGTTTGTTTTGTAAATCACTAAGGTTGCTACATTAATGTTTCCATGCAACTGAAATTCATAGTTTGTGTTCTACATCTGCTTATAAGGAGTTCTGCAAAAGCACAAGTCAAGTCTTGAGCTCACTGTATCCCAAACTCAGTCTTGTACATGCCTAGGGTCAAGCAGCCATTCGGAACACTCACTGGCTGCTGGTTTAACTTGACCAGTGAAGACAGAGTTGTACATGTGATAAGCATCCATGAGCAATTTCCCATCCTACGATCTCCCCCACTTCTCTCATTACACAGCAATGAGTACTCGTAGGGTTAGAGGAATAGGGTAGAGGTAAATGGGTTGGCAGAGCTGTCTTACTTCACTCCTGACCAATTAAAGAGGCTAAAAACATTCAGGCCACTAGGCTTACTAAGGTCTCTTTAGTCCAGTGATCTACCCACTACATCTATCACTCAAATGCTGGTGATTATAATGTCCCTTCTTTGCCCTCTCCACACAAATCTAAATCTCAAAGCAATACTATTTGGCACACACATTCTTTGGTAATCTGCTTAGCTTAGTAAGGAAAAGGGGTGCTGCAGAAATTAAAATATGGATGTCCTCTGAATGTCTCAGCCACCCTGCAAATGAAGCCATTGTGATAGAGAAACATGTTTGTGGCTCCTCACCAGATACATGCAGTTGTTCCTTAATCAGTAAATTTAAAGTGACAGTTACAACACTCTACACCAGCCCAGAGATGGCTCTTTGGTTCATGTTCAGTGTCACATAAAACTATAAATATTCATGGGAAACATCACATTACAAGTGTGGCTGCAAGAATAGGGAAGAGGGATATTGTTGACAATCCTTTTACTAAATAGGAAAAATTTCATAGTCATGTCTTTACATATTTACTCATTTTAAATCATAATGCACATGTTTCAAATGTAGCTATTTCTAATGTCCTTTGTTATCTACACACTATGAAATGACTATCTAGCTTACTCTTGTGTTGGGCTATTTTGTTTTTGTTTTTTGATTTTCATTAAAAATTTTATTTTATCATGATCATTATGCTGTTTTATTTTTTATATTTTTTTAAACTTATTTTTTATTCAATCATTTACTAAAATATTTATGTAAATAAATATATACATACATTTTCAATGAATATGTATATGTACCTTTTCTTTTTTTTTTTAAAGAACCTTCCATGTTTGTACTTTTGAGGCATTAAATCCCCACCCCCCATGCCTTTTTTAAAAACAAACTGTTAGGTCTAACTCATCCAGTCATAATCTATACACATATCCGGGTCATCAGAAAGAAATAAAATGAAGGCTGGAGAGAGGGCTCAGTAGTTAACCTCATGCACTGCTCTTCGAGAGAACCAGAGTTCAGTTCCCAGCACTTACAGGAGCTCACAACTTCTTGTAACTCCAGCTGGAGAGAATCTGACATTGCATGTCCCAGTATGCATAAACACACACACACACACACACACACACACACACACAATAATAACAATAATAGTAGTAGTAATAATAATAATAATAATATTTTTAAAGGAAAATAAAATGGATTCTAGAATGTTTTCAAAATACAAGATTAAAATGAGACCTTTGGTGCTTCCTCATCAATGGCCTCAGTTTACCACTGGAACACACTGCCTAGGAGATCAAGCTGCCACACAGCTTATGGATATCAAAGCTAGATTGGAACTCAGGTTCCTCCAACTAATGGTTTTACATGCCTCTTACTACTGGGTCTAGTCAGCACAGGTCCATTGACTTTTCAGTATGAAATGCAAATTTAGGAATTTATATGAGTCAATTCAGATGGTGGTAAACAATTTTATTAGCTAGTATTAAACGTAATTTGTAAAAGATAGAGGAGGTCTTTTAACATTGAGGAAAACTCAATTCTCATGGCACAAGTGACCCTGGATGCATTTAATTTCACAATGTTGTTGTCATAATATTGTATATGGAAATCACTTTGCTTTAATGCACAAATTAACATCTACTTCTGAATAGCCACCAATGATGTTAATATTTCAACTCTTTAATGCTTAAATGTTATGTGCATTTGATAGTGCGTATTAAATTAATTAGAACAGAAGTGATAGGCAGGAATACCAATTGGATCCTCTTATTTAACCCAACTTCCTCATCTCAATGCTTGTGACATTTGACTATCACTATGCTATTTTTTAATTTTTTTTTTTATTTTTGAGAATAAAGGAACTTCCGTATCTAGCAAGGGTGAGGTCTTTTGCCTCGTCCCTTGGCATTGTTATAAAAATCCTCTTTGAATAAAGTTCTGGGGCATTGGGAATTGACCCAGGTCCTCTCGAACCTATCCTGTGTTTCTGTCTTTCTTCTCATCAGCTAGGCCTATCATTCTACCTGATATTTTCTTATCCCTTTCTCCTCAAGAGTACCCTGGGTAAAGTGGGGCAGGTCCCCCACACTTTAGCATTAAATGCTACTGGGATGAGAGTGTGATGGGAGAGTAGGGGTTAGAGACTGAAACATCAGGAATAACATAAACAAACCCAGTGTTCAAAGAAAGACAGATGGGGAGCCCTTCTTCATCTGGACTTCATCTAATGAACAGAGCATGCTGAGAAAAATATCATGCTATACAACTGAGGGAGAGATGGTGCTGTAGAAATGTCCAAGTAAAGGTCATGATGCTTTTGGTTGGCAGTGGAGACCGGGTTGGTGTGGGGCGTAGGAATGGAGGGTGCTTTCTCCCTTAGCTCACTAGCACCCTCCTGTTCTCAGGAGTTCCTTCTACTTTATAATAAATGGTCTCTTCCCATTTCTAACCATGTGTTCCTGTTATAGTTTTTTTGTCATGGGGCACAGAAATCTAGATACTTCAACAAGTGCCCCAGGACACGGTGGCCATTGCTCATAACAGGAGGGAGTGTGTTGTAGGATGGAACCCAGGAGACAGCTGTAGGCTAGACATCAAATGGCCTGAATTACTTTCAACTAGGTCTCAGGAAGGTGACCCCACCTAGTTTTCAGACAGGCACGAAGTACAATTCACCAACTCTTCAGTCGAAAAGACTGAGTTCTTGTGCCCTCCTGCCTCATATTCCTTTCTCTGCCCAGCCATATCACTCTTCCCATTTCCATCTCCCAAGTACTGGGAACAAAGGCATGAGATCCCAAGTGCTGAGATTAAAAGTGTGGGCCACCCCTGCCTGGTCTCTATGACTAACTAGTGGCTGGGTTTGTCTTCTGATCTTAGGGCAAGCTTTATTTTTTAGAGCATACACAAAATATCACCACAATGCAGACACCTGAAAGGGATACAATAGCCTACCTGAAAGGAGCCTGGATATTCAAACTGTAATAATTTGAGTAATAAAATATATAACTGCATTATTGCCCCAAATCCAGAAAGAATATTGTGTTCATTTTTGTATAAATAATTGAACAATTGTGAAGCAAATCTGTCTTCCTGAGGAATTCTAATGAAGCATGTAGATGTCCCCCTTCCAGAAGTTTAATACCTTTCATGCCTCATATTCTGGGTGAGCTGTATAATGGTTTGCTTCCCCCAAAAAGAGTATGTAAAGGTAAAAATAATAACTTCACAGTGAAGATACTTGGCAAACCCACCTTTAAAGAAATATGTCATTAACCTAACATCCCAGGATTAAATCATGTTGACATCATATCATGTCTCCAGTGTGTTATGAGACCAACTTTACACACACGCACACATACAAACATACATACATACATACACACACACACACACACACACACACACACACACACACACACACACACACACCAGTGGGCCTGCAATATTCTGGTAGCCCAGACTTGTGAACTTCTGAATCATAAAGCAAAATACAGAGACAAACAGCTAGATGATAGACAGATGGGAATTATCCCCCAAAGGCTGACCTTGCAAAACCAGAGCTGACCTGGGCTCGTTAGTTTCAGATGTTGACTCTATGGGAAGTAGGAGAAGTAGAGGCTCAGGGAAGAGTGCACTGTGGAGCACAATTCTCTCTAAGTGTCAAGTTCCCCTTTGGTATCTAGGAGTGATTACTGAGGCAGTATCTTCCAGATAGTGCATCTAGACCTGGCCCCTATTGGTCCAGTTGAATAGCAACATCTTACTCAAAACTGTCTGCTATACTTCCTGGTTTCTACCAGGCCAGGTCCCAATCTTCATTCTATCCTTCCAGTCTTTCTCCTGTCTTGGATACTTTCATCAGGAAGCCAAAGCACAGGTTGAGGGAGAGGTGAGTGTGGCGTATAAGAGGATTGAAAAGGACCTTTCTTTACATGGGGTCTCCTCATCATTTCAAGTATCATGCTTTAAATGAAAGATATTTAAAGAAATGATATAATGAAGGATATTTAAATGAAAGATATTATTCTACAACTCACTAAGAGCCAGTTGTAGAATAATATGCACAATTTGAAACCAATGATATAATAATAAAAATTTCATATGGCTATGAATGACTATGTATGTTAATTCACAGACAACCCTTGTGTAAGTCTACAAAATTCGTAGACCAGAGTACATAAGAGAAATCGCCGCGTAGGACAGAGAAAAGAATCTAGCATTGAAAGTAACTTCAAAATTTTTATATGACTCTTTCACCACCCAAATCTTGTGCTTCATCAATCCAGTGTCCTTCAGTATCCCTCCAGATCACCCAGTCCCCTCTTTATTGATCCAGTGTCCTTCAGCACCCCTCCAGATCACTCAGTCTCCTCTTCCAACATTGCTTCTTGAGGTTTTATGATATCATCCTGAACTGTAGTAAATTTTTCTTGAATCACTTACTTTGTTGGTTCACCGAGCCACCTTTAAAGCCATTCCTGTCTCCTTTGTCCCCAACTCATTCTTAGAGTCCCATTGACAAGGAAAGCCATGGTTCATAAGCTTTTAGTCTCTCATTCAGAACTTTCATAATGTTGAAATTAGTTTATATGCTCACTGCTCATAACTCAGAAGAATATTAACATTCATTTTCATCAGGTTGCCCATAAGGAGCCAGAGCCTCTGCTCAAGAGAAAGAAGAGAGAAAACTGAGTGCTTCCCAGAGCCTACAAGGCTGTGGGGTGAAGAGCGCCTGAGTGTTTCCCAGAGCCGATGAAGCTGTCAGAGGGAGCATGCTTTTGAAAAACACAGCCCTGCACCACAGAATAGAGTCTTTTCATTTTTTATTAATTGCAGTACAGAGAAAATAAGTCAAATGTTTAAAGAAATTTCTGCTTCTTAGGTTGTTGATTTTACACCAACAGAAAATATGAGTAAGGCTTGAGTGTTCATGTCTCTCTTTTTCCCAGGGTAGACTGAAAAATAAAAAAGAGAAATGCAAGTTTTCTTTTTAAAATGGAATATGATTTCCAAATCTATTTTGTTTTTTGAGATAGGGCTTCTCTGTGTTGTTTTGGTGCCTGTCCTGGATTTCACTCTGTAGACCAGGCTGGCCTTGAACTCACAGAGATCTGCCTGGCTTTGCCTCCTCAGTGCTGGGATTAAAGGAGTGTGCCACCACCGCCTGGCCCAAAACTATTTTTAGAAATATTGGATTTCTTAGGTTCTTTTTTTTGCAATATTCACCAGTGTAGACAGCCTAGGCATGATCTAGCTTTAGCTGAACTCCCTCACTCAGGGGGCAGATGATACACCATTGCCTGTTCTGACACCTGCTCTTCATCACTGGTCCCATCAGGACCCTCATGTTTCAAAGTCAGAGGTCTCACCATTCTCAAGACCTACTTATTCCCTAATTTATTAAAAATGAAAGCTGTCTTCTCAGAATGCAACAAATTTCCTTTTCCTTCTAAAATGGATATATTTTAAAATTAATTCTATATTTATTGGGTATTTGCTTGAATATACAATAAGTATGTGTTTTCATATGGAGAAACAATTTTCTTTTTTCATCTTTTTTGTTGGTCTATTTTTTTTAAAATCATTTCCAAAATATTTCAAACAAAATTGATCAGCATAGCTATGTTCAATTATCTACATTTTCAAAGGAAGCTGTTTTGAAACAGGAATATAAATTCTGTCAAAGCTTGGCATATGACACATCAGAGATTTGGAAGCATATCATTTATTATGAAACAGGAACCCCCTTAATACAGCTCCATCGGATCTTCTGGTGAAATGAATTCACAGAAGTATTGGCTCAAACTCTGCTGAATCAAAAATACACAATGGTTTTGACTTAAAAAATGTTCTTTAATATGGGTTCAGTTTTATTCTTAGGCTATCCTTGACCAGACTAACATGTGTGATTCCAAGTAGTACATGATATAAGTCATAGCAGAGCCATGATAAGTCATCAGCTCTGGAGTGAATTCTCGAGTTTGGCTCCTTCTCTCCCTAGTTTGGCTGCCCCTTGGGTAAATTGCATTGATCTAGACCTTTATGTATTCATTTTCTTATCTGCATATGGAACCCAAATGGGTGAACATAAATGAGGGCCTAAGATTGGTGGCAGGTGCTAGTCTACATGGCTCTTGCCAAATGGTCAGCAAATCTTAGCCATTTTAGGAAAAATGAGTATGATTAATTTTTTTAATAAAATCCCAAATACACTTACCTGAGATGCTTGTGATTGTGATGTGTTTAGGCTAAGGCGTCTTGGCTTGCAGCAACAAGTTTTGGGCCCTGAACACACACACACATACACACACACACACACACACACACACACACACACACACACACACACACACGATAGATGTTAGAAAAATACTAGCAAGTCTATTAGAATTTGCACATCCACAGTTTTCAGTGATTATAATGTAAATTCACATGCCTTGCAAAACTTAATTCCAGTTCTCTTAGAATTCTTAAACAAAGCTCACTGATATCTATTGTATCCAAAAGAATAAAATAAACTCTTGTTAGGCCATGAGGGGAAATGTGAAATGATTCAAACATGTAATTGTAAATGTTCTCCCCTCAAGTGTGAAATAAGTCAATTCAAAGTGTAACATTTCAAGACAAGGTTTAATGATGTTAATGATTCTGGGCTTTACAAATATTTCTAACTATGTTCATAATTGTCATAAATTTAGTACATATAAATTATAAACATTTATATGCTACAGTTTGGTATGGCATAAAAATTAAGAGCTATGTAAGTCAGCTTGTATTATAGTTCTGTAGTGAACACGATCTAGATTGATCACATTATTCAGCATATGAGTGTCTAAGCCTCAACCTGACCAAATGCACACAAATGGAAACTGAACATATCAAAGTGCAAAATGCTCTGTTACCTCTTCAGAGAAGCAGGCCTCCTTGTCGTCAGCCTTGCAGCACTTATCCAAGAAAGCTGCAAAATCGCCCATCACGGTCTTCAACTGGTCATCTGTAGCCTTGGGTTTGTGCTTCACCAGCTCAGCAAGTGCCCTGCATTAGGACATAAGGCAGGAAGAGCAAGGAAATGTTGACTCCCATGCAGGAAACCAAGACAGCAAGATTTGAGACCCCAGTTCAAGGTTACACATCATGGATCCAAGCGACTTTGGCTTCCAAGACCAAGCAGGCCATTGCAAAACTTAGTATTCTTGACTGTGTAAGAGGGCAATAAGGGCCACTTGGCTAGGACTGGATGAAATGGAATAATCAATACAGGTCATTCTCTGTTTTATGTAGTTTCAGGAAACTTCCTGAAAAGCTTCTCTCTTTGCACTTAATACACAGAATATGGCTCTCTAACATCAGCTCCATTTGAAGTTAATAATGGGGATGTTATAAGAATTAAAACAAGCCAAGCAAGAAGAGACTGCTGGGTCTCTGTCATTGATATTTGTAGAGCAAACAGTACCGGAGAAAAAGAGTTATGTGGGGGATGAGTCTGGTAACATGGTCTGGACCACCAACACAGGTCTCCAAAGATGATGAGAACATCTTGCTACAATTCATGCTGTTGGAACCTCTCTCGAGAGCAATGAGGAGTCCATCCTCTTTGTGCATTTCCAGCTGTTTCCTTTGCTATTCTCAGAAGTCACCCTGTGGTCTTTTCTTGTCTCTGCTATGGTTTCATCATGTAACAATTACAGATAATTATTCATACCTTGAAAAAATTCTATGATTTCTATGGCCAATCATATATCAATATAAATTCACCAGTTGGCTATTTAGAATTTTCTACTGTGTCTCAACTGGAATTGTAGTCTTCTGTGGTTTTTATGCACAGTATTAAAGATAATTCATATGAAAGATTTTAATACATTTTTTCACATAGAAAAAAAGTTGACACTTTTTCAACTCAATAATACCAACATCTAAACAATGCTCTCTAAGGTATATAATCACTGCACACAAAAAAATTCCAAGAAAATTATTCAAGAAAATATGGCTCACATTTGTTTCTTCATCTGCTTCTCCTTCTCTGGAAGTGTGCAGATATCAGCATGGAAGGTGAAGGTCTCAGCTTTAAAATCCTTGGGGACATATGTTTCATCAACAGGCAGAGCAGAGAAGCATGGCCGCCTTTCCACCACAGGTCCAGTACAACACTTGGTGACCTGATCACTCACTGGGGTCTTCTCATGCAGCACACATACCCGGTTCAGAATTGCAACCATCTAAGGAACAGGCAGGCAGAGTAGCAGAACAGTCATTAGATCCACAGACACTCACTTTCTGATGCACTAAAAGAATTGCCATATTGAATTAACCACTTTGAATTTAGCCTTGACTGCCATAGTGATTTATTTATCTTTGAAACCAAACATATGACTTATAAAAATTCTCTTTCAGTTAAATACAGGTGCCCATGTCCCAGTTACCATAAACACATGCACATATTAGCACACCCTTGCTCCTAAAAGTTAGATTTGTCAGTTTTTAAAGACAAAAACCCAGCACTACTGATTTTATCATAGTTGAAAAGACTCACATAGTCCTCCACACAGTGCAGTCTCTTTGCTTCAGGAAGCACGCAGCACTTGCTGCCCACATTTCCCAGATTTCTTGCAGCTTCCACGAGAGTTGGAGTTGATACCTGAGGTGCTTTCTGGGTGTAACGAACTAGGAGCCTGTTATAAAAAAAATAACTTATATGTTTCCATCCAGGCAGGAAACTGGTCTGGTGTAAAATATTCAACAAGAAAATTTTTCCCCAAATCAGCTAAGATATTTTCCCCCCACCAATCAAAGCTCTTCACTTCTAGGATGATAGCACAGTATTGGAGGAAGACCTTGTCCTGAGAAACAAACTAGGTTGAAATCTCCCTGGAGTGTATGATCTTTGTCTTAGATCTGTACTAAAATCATAAGGAAGTGAGCTACATTTCTCTAATCTGACAGTATGGATGTAGTTGGTGCTGCTTGAAATAAATTCTATCATAAATTTACACATATCAACACTATGATAAACTTAAAAGATAGTTGTGAAAAGATGACTGGTTTAATAGAGACAGTGAAAGGATTAAATGAAAGGAAATAATGTGTCTGCCTGGCACATTATCTAGTATCTAATAACATATAGTATTTAATAATGCTCCATAACCCATAAAAGTCAGTGAATGACTGTAAAATGACAGTGAAGAAATCATGTCAACTCCAAATGCTAGAGTTAGAAGAGCACTAAAAGTGTAAATGATCTGAAGAAGGAATAATGTCTCTTCACTTTACCTTCATAAATAAGGTTCTATGGGATTGTGACATTACTCCAGCAGGTAATTCAGTCTCTATCTCTTCTAGAAATGAAATTCCATAGGAATACAAGATCACAACTATGAAAGTTTAGGTATAACTCTCAAGCTCCAATGTTTCTGAAGTGAACCTTTATTCATGTAACATTTGAATGTTATCTAAATTTTTTGTTATATTTTTGTGTTCAGCATTTCTATCAATTCTTGAGCTTCTGCTGTCCAAAGCATACTACTTCTTGTTCTACCAAATATCATTCTACTGTTTGCTCATAAACTCTACCTAACCTTCGAAGGATAATCCCAGTTCTAATGTATCAAGGTTTGCTAGAACCCTCAAAACTATATACTCCCAAGAGACACTGTTTTATATTATAGTGTGGTGATATTGTGTTTCCTAATATATTGTGCATCCTAATAAACTTATCTCGGTCCAGAGAACAGAAATAAACTTATTTCGGGTCAGAAATTTGTGGCACACACACACACCTTTAATCTTAGCATTCCAAAGGCAGAGACCCATCTGGATCTCTGTGAGTTCAAGGCCACACTGGAAACAACCAGGCCTGGTGACTCACACCTTTAATCCCAGGGAGTGATGGCAGGAAGCAGAAAGGTATATAAGGTGTGAGGACCAGGAAGCCTGGTTAAGTTTTTAGGCTTTTAGTAGCAGTTCAGCTGAGATTCATTCAGGATGACAACTCAGAGGCTTCCAGTCTGAGGAAACAGGATCAGCTGAGGAACTGGTGAGGTGAGTAAGCTGTGACTTGTTCTGCTTCTCTGATCTTCCAGCATTCACCCCAATACCTGGCTTCAGATTTGATTCTATTAATGAGACCGTTTAAGATTTGTGCTACAATACAGGGATATAATCCTCTCCATCCTATAAAGGAAGTTACCTACTCTCCAGAATTTTGTGATGGATAGGGATTATAAATAATGTGTTTTCATTACTAAGGCCATATACTGGGTGGCCTAAGCCTTGTTTTAAATAATTACAAATTGACCAAGGGAAAAAAATAGCTGAAAAACTACTCACGCATTTTGGAATCCATACTCGCCAAGCCTCTCGAAAAGTTCACAGTTCGTTTTGACTAAGTTTTTAGTCTCTTCTACCAGAGGAGGAAGTTCACCAAGCTGCAACATAAAACAATTGTGTTTATAGCATCCTTCCTGAGAACCCAATGTAGGTCACTTGCATTTTTCCCTTCCTTCTGTCCAAAGAGACTTCAGGAGATCTTCCTTGTCATGTCTGTCACATTACATTTAAATTGTTCCTTTTATTTGCAAGATCATTTGGTGCAAGTCAATAAGAATCTTCAGGCTCTGGGATTCAATGACTGTGTTTGCACCAGGTCACCTGACTTGTTTTCTTGTTGTGCAACTGTTCTTCCCATGTCTAAGCTTCAGGCTGATCCCTCTACAGCGGCATTGCGTGTACTTAACTAGAACTGTTCTGTTAACCAACTAAGTGGATGAAATTAAAATCACACCTAGTCAACAGCAGACCTTCAATAGACAGGGTCATCATTTTCAGGCAATCTGTCTAGTTGGATCTTGAGGTCTCTGAGATGAGAAAGTCTACTCCCAGACTCAGTCACAGAGGGATGCCTGGTATTCAGCAACTTCTTTGTAAAGTACGATTCTCTTCTGGCCCCAAATAGGTCAGAAACCAGTGTCTGCTGACAGGAACCCTGATGTCCTCCAAAACAAACATGCTCCAAAACCTCCAAAATGTTTGAAAGTATTTTAAAGTAGAAGAGTACACAAACTCCTTTGAGATATTAATGGTAAAAGTTGACAATTTGGGGGATTGGGTTAAGTGTTTTTAAATGTGAGTTAAATATCTCTTTTAGTTGGCATTTGAATTTATTTTATTCTCAAGAGTATGAAAAGGGAAAAGCTATGATAAAGATTTTGTGCAAGTAAAGATTCCTTCCTTCCTTCAAATCTTCCCTTTCTAGAGTGATTATTAGAGGTTTTCTTACATTTTATCCAGTGGTTATCCTATAATGACTAATAACTTTAAGAGCTCAGGCTTGCCTACATCTCAAGAAAGTATCTGAATTGACCTATAAGTCAATTCTCATTAGTCCATCGCTTCCTTTCTCTTTACAGGAAGTGCTGCCAGGAGCTGCTGTGCTCTTGGCCTATGGAAACCTACCACTTTGCCGTAGCATGCAGCAGGATCAGCTTCAGCACAGCACTTTTCCAATGTGTCTTCATATTTCTTTGTAAGTCTCAGCAACAAGGCAACAGAGTAGTCAGGGTGCCTTCTTGAATATTCATACAAAAACCTAAAGAAGATAAACACAGACTGAGTTAAATAGATGAGCAAGTAATAGACTCACATAAGTAATCTCAATAGTGATTCACATTCCAGGCGTTCTGCATTGGAATGAGCTTCATGCAGGAAACTGAGCAGCAAGAACTTGGGACCCAGAGATAACTCTTCCCAGGTTCAGCTTTCCCAATACAATGTATTTTACTGTTCTGCAGGGGCAACTTATTAACACTATCAGTGCATTAACCTCCTCCATATAGAAGGGAAAGAAGGATAGCATCGCTCTAACAAGGTGGGTTGGGATAAATACATGGCACAGTCTGTCAAAGCACACAGAGACTGGTGCATATTAAATGGTTGATTCATAGTTATTTTTACTGTATATCTAGTTTGCTTTGAATTATGTCTACAAAGTATCTCAATAAAGCAGTAAATAGAGACATTACTAAAAGTTCCTTTTTCTTCTACATGTGAGGTAAATCTTTTATTAAATACTATTTACTATAGGGTAGAATTATAATCTAATATTGAAATGATAGAATTAATTGTTGCAGTTACTCAAAACATAGTCATTTTTTATTAATTGTATCCTGTCTTGACACACTATGACATTCTGGTCATTTCAATCAAATACAAAACAACTTGTGTCATATTGATATTTTTATGTATATGTGTGCTTTACATACATAAATGACATTAGTTTATATATATATATAAACATACACATATATAGATATATATCCTTCC